AAAAAAAAAATATATATATATATATATATATATATATATATATTGGAAGAGGAAAAGATTTAGATACTTAGAATGCCTTCTTCATAGGGACAATGATAGGAAGGAGTGGCTCCAGTAGGGTACTCCCAATTCTCCTAAACGAACACAATGTCATTTTCATGACCTTTGTTCAAATCCGGGAGATGGGTGACCAAATAACGGTCCTTCTTCCTCATAGCCAAATAGAAGTTATCACCAACAGCCTTGGATGATGTAACAATATAGAATCTCCCACATGCCAAGGCTTAAGCCCAAAAGCTTATTCAAGGCTAATACCCCTATTACTATCCTGAAGAAGTTTGGACAGCATTGGAGGGGCAGAGCTTTGCAGCAGAGAGAACCCAAATGAGAAGAGGGTCGAGAGGGAATCACACTCCACCCTCAGTAATTGCACGGGTTGGAATGAGAATCCTCTCCCTTGAGCCAATCAATGGTTCATCTTTTCCAACGACCTTAACATCGATATCGTCTGGGATATTATATTTCGCTTTGAAAGCTGGAATATCATTAGGAGTGAGGGGAGCCATTGAAGAAGATGAATTACAGAGATAGATACAAGAGACGGGTTTGGGGGCATGAAGGCAAGGTAGAGGAAGATACGAAAAGAAACAGTTTATAAATGATAGGAATTATAAAGGGCAATATTTAAATGCCAAGACGTGCCACAAAATTAGGGGGGATGGCACAAGTACGCGTAATGATGATGAAAGGGAACAAAATGGCTAACAGACAAAAAGTGTCTGTCAGACATTTTTTGGGGGCAAACGAAGGGGCTGGCCCTCATTATTACCCGTGTTATGATATTAAATGAAGCCCACGTGAGGTTGACAAGACAAGTTACGTGACGAAGAAATCATTCACTCAGCCTTATAAACTGAGCCGTGCTGATCAATAGGTTCGGCAAAGAAAGAAAGAGTTTAGTTTTTATTATGACCGAGCTAATTAAAGCGTTGGGTTCCTATCAAGAGATCGGCTCTTGCAAAGCCGAACTCATTTACATGCTCGACAAACAAAGAAGGAGTTCGGCACTTAAAATGACCGAGCTGTGTTGCAACCGTATGTGGAAAGATAAAGATTCGCCTATAACTGAGACATTTTTAATGAACGAATTAACAAAATTGCAGATATCAGGAGGAATTGTCGGAGAAATATCAGCAACTTCCCAAACTGAATAGCTGAATTGAAGGAAGGTGTGCAAACCCTAATGGGAGAATCATCTATAAAAAGTAGAAGAAGCCGAGGTGAAAGGAACGCTAAACTCTCCTTGTTTTTTAACAAACGTTTCTACTCCAATACTGACTTAAGCATCGGAGTGCCTTCGATCGAAACACTTCGATCTTGGGCAGTTTGTTCGTTTTGCAAAACAGGAAGATTGAGAGATCAAGTTCAGAGATATTCCGTACCAAAAAGATCACATCAAATTCCTCGTATGAGGTATCGTTAATTTTTTGTCTCTTACACTAAACACAAAAAATTCAATCCATCCTACTTTCTATCTCTCTCACCAAACAGAAATGAGGGAAGTAAAGATTTTTTCATTGAAGGATGAAACGTGTATCACTCTCACTTTGTTTCTTTCTATTTTTTCATTCATCCTATCAAACAGATCATATACATTAAGTAGAAATATTCCTTTCTTTTTTGATTGAAGAAGATGGCCATCAGTAGCCAACAATTAATTAAGGGTTAATAGTATTTTTGTTCCCTAAAGAATGTATTTTGTCAGTTTTAGTCATCATTATAACAATTTTTTAATTTAATCCCTAAAGTATTCAATTCGTGTCAATTTGGTTTCTATATAGATGGACCGTTAAGTTTTTTGACGAAAGTGATCATGTGTCATGTTTTTTAGACGGTATCACGTGCTCAATACGTGACTATTTCATCAAAAAATTTAACGGTTCGTGTATGTAGGTACCAAATTGACACGAATTGAATACTTTAGAGACTAAATTGATACAATAAAGAATTAAATTGACAAAAAATAAATCCTTTATAAACTAAAAGTACTATTAACCCATTAATTAATTATATGTATCATGTGAATTCAATTGCCATGCATTTTGTAGATCCTCTTGTCCTATAAAGTTGGACAAGCGGCGATTTGGGTGAGTCTTCTAAGATGTCTTACAGTCGATTACAAGTAGAGTAAAACTCGTGATTTACACGAAAGGCTTTTTTAGAATGAAAAATGTTGACTCGGCCCATTCTCTTAACACTCTTTACAAACACATGCTCAAATATATTCTTAGCTTACCAAACAAATTTTACAATATAAAACTTCCTTGCTCTTAAAATTTATAATATAAAATAAGGTAGGTTTCAATAAGTCTATCCGATAGTCTCAAATAGACTCATTCAACGGTCACCAATATCTCTCTCAAAACTATTCACATTATACCATTCTTTTAGACACGAGTTACCCCTAATATCATATAAAATACATAACAAGTCTCTCTCCCTCTCGCTAACACTCATACACACATATATAAATGAAAACGAAAGCATATGTAACTATCTAATCCAAGATGCATTGGGTTGACAGCAACTTAGAAACATCAAGCATCGTTGGCCTAAACCGTGGATTGGAATGTAAGCATGCTTTGGCAACCTTCATAATAGATACTACCACACTCTCAACTTCAGGTAGGGGGGCGTCAAGGCGTTGGTCCAACAAATCTTTCAACTGTATTTTCTCAGCTGACGGAGATGTTATAGTAGAAATATAATCCCCTGGATGTTTTCCTTTCATCACTTCCAGTGTTAACACTCCAAAGCTATAAACATCGCACTTCTCAGTGACTTTCATTGTGGAAGCAAACTCTGCGAAGAAAACCAATAACTGATATCAATTTATGTAGGATTGTCAATCAAGTCGATGTCGTGTCATTTTTGTTATATGTCGTGTTTGTTTCATATTCGTGTTCATATAAAAATCATTTAATGCTAAACTAATTTAAACATTACTAGATCAAGAAAAAAAGAAAAATACAAAAATCATACATTTTGTTCTTGCAATACCAATAAATAATATATAAACTCGATAATCCTGAATTTAGTAGACTAGAAACTTGTATTACCTGGTGCAATATACCCATATGTGCCTGCAAGAGCACTCCAATTCGATGAGTCTAGCTTCAGAAGCTTGGCAGTGCCAAAATCGGAAATATGTGCCTCGTACTCGGTATCTAGCAAAACGTTGTTGCTGGTTATGTCTCTATGAACAATTGGAGGTGAACAATCATGGTGCATGTATGACAAAGCATGAGCCACACCCTTGACAATGTGCACCCTCTTAGGCCAATCCAATTTCTTAGCTTCATCTTCTATGCTCAAGGTTTTGGCCAAGCTACCCCTTTCGAGGTACTCATAAACCAAAAATGAATGTTGAGAATTTGAACAAAAACCATAGAGTTTCACAATGTTTCGATGCTTGATTTCTGTCAATGCCCTTACCTCGTTTAGAAAACCTTTAGAATCCGTCATCTCAGACGAGTGGAGTTTCTTCACAGCCACTTTGTTAGCTAATTGCAACTTTGCCTGGTAAACGATCCCATATCCTCCCTGTCCAATGCAATATGTGGCATCAAAATCCTTTGTGGACTTTAAGATATCATCATACATTGCTCTACCATCAAAAGTTGATATTGAAAATAGACCTCCACTCTGAATCTTGTTTTGCTGATCATCTAGGATTCTCCTTCTTTTTCTGTTAATGATGAAAAGTCCCACAAATGCACATAGAAATAAAAGTGCTCCCAGAAGAGGGAGTACGATTACGAGAACGAGTTTTTGGTCCGTCTTTGAAGTATCTTTGTAAGCCTTGAAAGGATTTTTGCAAGGTAGCAATCCTGTAATATTTCCACACAAACCTTTGTTCCCTTGCAACTCCTCTATGGAAGCATTCATGAAGGCTTGGTTGCTGGGGATGGGACCTTGCAACTCATTGTAGGAGATGTCAATATGTTCCAAGCCACGCATTTCTTCAAAATCCTTTGGAATCGAACCAGAGAGGTTATTATGGGAGAGATTCAACAACACCAAACTCTCCAACCTTCCGATTTGTGGTGGTATCTTCCCAGCCAATGAATTGTGACTCAAATCGAGTACCGACAACCCATGAACTAACTTACCAATCTGAGCTGGAATTTCGTGGGAAAAATTGTTGACGCTCAAGTTCAAGTAATGCATTTTCAAGTAGTCGCCTAGATATCCCGGTAGTGGCCCGTTCAATCTGTTTGTGGACAAGTCTAAATACAACAACTCATCTAGCGAGCCCAGTTCTTGAGGTATACCACCAGAAAGTTGGTTATTATTCAAACACAACTCCAACAGAGAAGTCAACTTTCCGAATTCCTTTGGAATCTCCCCAGATAAATGATTTGAAGAGAGATCAAGAATACCTAATTGAGGTGAATTTCCAAGCTCTGGTGGTATCCTACCGGTGATGTTGTTTCCAGCGATCCGCAGCGTTAACAATTGTTTGCACCCACCCCAATTGTTCGCGAGTTCACCATAAAACTTATTGTTACTTAGATCCATGAGTTGCAGGTCTGGGTAGATACCGAAATCTTTCGACATATTTCCGATGAGTTGGTTTCCATTGAGGAGGACTCTGGTTAAGCTTGAGCAGTTTCTAAAGCTTTGGGGTATTGGACCAACAAGGTGGTTGTCAGCTACAGTGAATCTTTGCAGTTGTCCACCTTGGCAAAAATTGTCTGGCAAATGGCCAGAGAGTTGATTTTTGTCCATTTCAAGCACAACCAATTCCAGATTTCCCAATTCTTGTGGGATGGGGCCAGAAAGTTGATTTTCACGGAGGAATAAAATCTTCAAATTGCTCAGATTACCAAGTGATGCAGGAATGGAACCATTGAGGCGATTCTCGCTCAATTCCAGATCAGTGAGGGATTTCAAGTTCCCCAACTCTCTAGGAATGAAACCTGAAAGTTGATTCGTGTACAGATGCAGAATTTGGAGGGAGCTCAGATCACCAAATGATGAAGGGATTGAGCCAAAAAGGTCGTTTGTATGAAGGCTTAGACTATTAAGCGATTTCAACTTCCCAATCTCTGGGGGAATGGAACCAGAAAGTGAATTACTGAACAGATGTAGCATAGTTAGCTTATTTAAGTTTCCAAAACTGGATGGGATGGGACCTGTTAGATAATTGGAGTCTATATCGAGTTCAACAAGATTGAAAAGATTTCCCATCTCTGGAGGAATGGAACCAGAAAGGTTATTTTGATACAGATACAAAAAAGCTAACTCGCCTAAACTTCCAATGGACGCAGGAAGGTTACCAACGAGATTGTTGGTATACAAAGCAAGTTCAGTCAGTGATTTTAGCTGGCCAATTTCTTGAGGTATCGAGCCATTTAAAGAATTTTCAACCAAATGGAGGGTCTGAAGATTTTTTAGCAGGCCAATCTCTGGTGGTATTATTCCGGAAAGTTGATTGACAGAGAAATCAAGATAAATGAGTTGGGAGAGCTGACCTATTTGAGGTGGGATTAGACCGAAGAGTTCATTCAGACTGATTTCNACCAATCTCTGGTGGGATTATCCCCGAGAGTTGATTGACAGAGAAATCAAGATAAATGAGTTGGGAGAGCTGACCTATTTGAGGTGGGATTGAACCAGAGAGTTCATTTAGACTGATTTCAAGGTATGCAAGATTGGGGAGAGACAAGAATGGAAAGTCGTAGAGCGTACCTTTTAGACCTGAAGTTGTGAGGTTCAATCTAATGACACTTCCATGGTCATTGCATGAAACTCCAAACCAAGTGCAATGGCTTGTACTAAGCTTTGGAGGGATAGAAGAATTGGAGGAGTTATTAGGAGAAAGTGTCCATGAAGATAGCCGAGAGCTATTTTGAAGGGTGGCTTTCCATTTGAGGAGAGCACTAGCTTCTTCAGTAGAAGCAGAAGCAGAAGCAACAATGGTGGTAGAGAAAGATATGTAAATTTGGAGCAAGAAAGCAAGGAAAAAGACCTTATCTAATGCTAGAGAACCCATTACGTAGTTCGATGTGTAAATGAGATAGTTCAAAACTCTTATTTATATGCCAATTCTTGTACAGCAATTCACAGAATTTGGCTCAATCCACAGGACTAGACTTTGGAAGTCTTCTTGCTTGCCATTTTCTTTCCAGTAGCTGATAATAGCCAGGAAAGTTAGGGTCATCCCCATATTCAAGGCACCTGACTACGGCATAAAAAAAAAAAAATTTGGTACTGTTCCTCTAAAATTTACTGTTTTAAATAGTATTTTTTATAATTTTTATAATTATTTTTACAACTTTTTTTTAATACAAAAAAATTACTATTTTTGTGAATATTTTTATTATTGTTGCAAATGTTTTATCATGATAACTATTTTTATCATTTTTTTGAGCACCACGTGATAAAAATATCTATAAATATAATAATTTTGTTCTTCGGTAGCATAGACAGGTTCACATTCAAGTCTCTCTTAAACTAGGCAACGACTCATGATGAGAAAATGACTGTAGTATCAAATGTGGTACTGCACCCAAATTTACAACAGGAAGAGTAAGCTACGACTTATTTGAAATTAAATTTTGACTCATAAAGTTCGGTTGTGACCCATTGAAGTTAAGTTATGATTCAAATTTTTAAGGCCGATCCAAGAATTATTATATTGATCTCAAACATTTGGATCCATCAAAGTATAACCCTATTTTTGTAATTTAAACCCACCAAATTACCAAATAGAGTTGTAATTTCATTTTTATTTTATGGTAATTTTTTATATGTAATGTAAACCCACCAAATTAAAGGTGTCACAAAATTAAATGAAGGTGCAGATTATATAAAACTCGTTTGCTTACAAAACCATTGGGATTGTATTGTATGAAGAAGCTTGGATTGTAAATCAATCAAACCCAAACAACACATGGATTGGCTAGTGTAGTCTTGGCTCGACTCCAATAATATCCATTAAGAACTAACTGTAATGGTATACTCCAGTGACGTGTAGACTTGGGCATAGGTCCATCACCAAGACTCAGACGTGTAGACTTAGGCATTGGTCCATCACCAAGACTCAGACGTGTAGACTTAGCCATTGGTCCATCACCAAGACTCAGACGTGTAGACTTAGCCATTGGTCTATTTTAAAGCTATACTCCAGTGGTACCCACCCACTTGTACCGTGCTTTCAACCCACCAAATCGGAGTGAACGGAAAAAAGGGTTTTTTTTAACCTTGGGTATAATTTTTTAGATTTATTTGAGGGAAAGTGTATGAATAAATTATTTATTTTATTAAGTTTAATTTTAATAAATTATATTATGTTTAGGTACAAAATTCAAATGAAATCAAAACTATTTTACCTAAATACATTTTCTTAAATTATGTAATCTTGATTGACAGTTATATATCTAATTAAATATATAAAAATTTCATTAGACTCTCTCACTATCTCTCCATCTCTCTCTTTCCCCATTACTTTCCTTATCTCTTCCCTATTTTCTCTCTATATTTATCATTGATAATTTATTTTTTTTTCAAATATATAAAGATTTGATTTATTTTTTCATCTTTCTCTCTCGTATTTTCTCTCTCTCTATTTATATCAATATTACACAACACAATTATACTAATAAGTTACACCAATCAGTTACAATTGTCTTATAATACACCAAACATTTACTCATGTATTCTAATAAACCAAACAGTTATCCCAAGCAATTACACAAATTTATAACACCAACCTAATTTGTCATTCAATTGTTTAGATAAACTAAATGCGAGAGTTCAAAGATCTTATTTATATGCCAATTCTTGTACATTAAATTCCCAGACTTTTGGCTCAATCCACATGACTAGACTTTGGAAGTCTTCTTGGGAAAGTGAGGGTCAACCCTGATGGGCCAGGTCCAAGGGCCCAACCCATATTATAAGCCCGACTTAAATTAATAATCCAATCCCAAGGGATCTAGCAAAGTCCAGCCCAAAAGAGGTCCAAGCCAGACAAGCTCATCAGGGAGTTGCACCACCAAGGGACGTCCTAGAACCTATCCCACACGGCCTAGAGAAAGTCAACTTTTTCACATACCTTGATCAAGTCCTTTGGAGTGCATCATAATTTCCTTACCGATTGAGGAGAGGAGAGGTCGCCAAGGAGAGGAAAAGTCGCCAAGAGATTCAATTACTATCAAACGGCCCCAATTATGACCGTCAAACTAGCTATCCAATTACAACGCACGAAACTATAAATTGTAAGCTCCCCTAACACTTGGGGGTATCTAAAAAAGAGTCAAGCTCATCTCCTCTCTCTCTTGTAATCATTGCTCTCCCTACACCCCTAAGTTAATAAAGTTCCCGGCGAACCTAGCCATCGAAAGTGGACGTAGGTCTTGTTGACCGAACCACTATAAACTTTGTTTCCTCTTTCCCTCTATTTATTTTATTGTATTTTATATTATTACTTGACTAGTGGTGTGCAAACTAATTTGTTCATCATCAATCCCCATTCATCCAAGTCTAATAGACTCTTCTTGGAAAGTTTGGGTCATCCCCATACAGTTAAGTCTCTCTGAGACTAGGAAACAACTCATGAGAAAATGACTATAGTACCAAATGTGGTACCGCACCAAAATTTACAGCAGTAAGAGTCCGCTACAACTAATTTGAAATTAAATTTCGACTCTTAAAGGTCCGTTGTGACTCATTGAAGTTAAGTTACGACTCAAATTTTTAAGACCGATCCAAAAATTATAGTATTGATCTCAAACATTTGGATCAATCAAGAATAACCCTATTTTGTAGAGTTGTAATCTTTTATTTTATAGTAACTTTTCTTATGTAATGTAAACCAACCAAATTAAAAGTGTCACAGTTATAAAACCTATGACACAAAATTAAACGAAGGGGTAGATTATTTAAAACTCGTTTGCTTAAAAAAAATGGAATTGTATTGTATGTCGAAGCTTGTATTGGTAAATGAATTAAACCCAAACAACACATGGATTGGCTAGTATAGTCTTGGCTCGGCTCGAATACGATCCATTAGGAACTAATTGTAATTTTATTATCAAATGTGCCTCACTGAAAAGATGAATAACCCAAAGTTTACCCATCCACTTCTAGGGCGCTTTCGACCTTTATTATAGGGACCCACCACATGTGCCCCTTTCTACACTTTGTTTGAAATTGTGATGATACTCATTTATGCGCTAAGGTTGTGTTTGGTTTAAGTATTAGAAATGATTAGGTTATTCATTCTGTCAGAGAAAATAATATAAATTTAGAATTCATTCCCCTTATACTTGTTTAGTTTAAGTATTAAAAAGTTGTGGGCCTTTTGTATTCCATGTAATATTTTATTTGGATAAAGTATTAAATGATGATATAACTATTAAAATTACTAAGAATCCCAACTTAGTCAAATCTATACTTATGTTTGGTATTTATATCTAAGTTTATCAAGGGTAAAAATATATTTTATACAAGTACTTTCCACCGGAATATTTGAACCCACCAAATTGGTGGATTTATTTAAGAAGGTTTTTATAGTATTAAATGCACTATTCATTTGGACTTTGGACTATTTATAGTAATAATATTGAGTTCAAAATATGTATCCAAACATGAGTATAAGTGGGATAAGGTAAGCCCATAAAAGTTTTTGTTTGGACCGAGAAACCACTAATTTTAAGCTAATAATGTTAAAGATTTGTACATTTTACCTTATCTTCTTTATGCTCCGTTTGGTAAGAAGGATGAAAAGTAGGAGGGACATACTTTCTATCTTTTAATGAAGGAAAGTAAGAATGATACATTTTCCTTCCTTTGTGTTTGATAGGATGAACGGAAAATAAAAATGACTAATTTTTTTTTCTTTGTGATATTTAAGATTAGGGATAACAATCGAGTCA